ACTTACATCTTAAAACTTACGACCATCTAATCTTTTTTTTTTTATTAAATTGTCAATATATTAGATTTTCTTCCGTTCATCATTTTCCTCCTTTTTTTTTTCTTCGCATCTCGTTTAATCTCGCGTAAATAAATATTCATAAATACATTTTTATAGACTCGACGCAAGCGGAATATTTTCTCAACGGATCACCTCCTCAGCACACTCACTCTCACTCACTCACTCACTCTCTCTCTCTATCTCTCTCTCTCTCTCTCTCTCTCTCTCTCTTTGCCTCTCCCTCCCTCTCTTCCCTGTTTATTACCATTTTTTTCTCTCTCTTTCGCGTCTTTTATCCGTCTGTTTCTTTCGTTTCTTTTTCGTTCGAAACACGACGATCGTCGTCTCCACCGTCAGGGGAGATTTCTTTCGTGGGTCGATCGTACGTGTACGATACCGATTGCAAAAAAACGACGATATCGACGATGGACACGAAGGACTCTCGATGTCGCGTAAAACTATAAAAACAAGAAGAAAAAAAAAGAAAAAAAGAAAAAATACACATCTCCCCTCCCTCTCCCTCGTTCACGTTTTCTTCTTTTCTAGTCCAACACCAATGATCTGATCGCACGAGAGAGCGCCGTGAAAAGAAATGATCCACCGAGAAAACCTCCTCCGCGGCTTTGCGTCGCGGCCTGAATTTCGATTTAAAATTTTTTTCTTTTTTTTCTTTCTTCAGGGTTCTTTATCCAAAAATATATGTACACATATATGTAACCGGTGTATACGTAGCGCTATATTCGTATGCCCTATTTCGGGGGACCCGGGGGATATTGTTTTTTTCTTTTTCTTTTTGGTACCAAAGTGCAAAAATTGTGAGATCGACCCTCTGTCCATTTTTTCCTCCTTTCCTTTCTTTTTACCCCACCCCCCTCTCTCACTCTCTCTTCTCGATCGAGTCCGCTTTATTATTCTTTTTTTTCTTTCTACTTCTTTCTTTTAACCTCTTCGTTAACAACGATTTCAGACACTTCTGCATGTATATTATACGTGCTCGTTTCACATATACATACACGCGTACTTGTATACATATATATATGTATATATAATATATTTATTTTCGTCTGACGTACAGAGATAATTGAGAGATATAAATTACACAACCGGCGAGGGTCTCACGATTTTCGCACCTTAGGTATAATAATGATCATTATTACACTCTACGATTCTTATTATTTTTTTTTTTTTTTTTTTAATTTACGGTATCTCCTTTCACCTTTCCCCTACCATCTCCTCTCTCTTCGAACTCTGCACGAAACAAAACTCTGCCACACACTACGAAGTATATTTATATCGTTAATTAATTATCGTTTTAACTTTAATTTACCATTTTACTTTACGTTCTCTCCTTTCTCTCCTTCATTTTTGTTTCCGTAGATATATATAGCTATCAATATCGAATCGCGATCACCTATTGTAATTATTCTGGCTTCATAAGGCGGACAAGTGGTTTCATTATTACATTCTTTTTTTCTTTTTTTTTTTTGTTTCTTTTATTATTATTATTATTATTATTATTATTA